ATGATGACTTAGGGCTAGTAGTTAAACTAAGAGATTTGGTAATTGACTGGGTTCAAGAAGGTTTTCATGACTTCTTCAGGTCACTTGATCACCGCTTCCACATGCTTTCTGGGAGAAACAACGCATTAAGTCAAGATCAAAATTCAACGGAGGAGGGATCACATGGTGACAAAGTTCTCCCTGGGCTTGTCCTGGTGCTGGCTCAACTTTCCATTTTCATCGAACAAACTGTCATCCCAAGAATCACTGAGGCAAGAATCACCTGATTGATTTAAGTGACAGATTTACATCCATTCCACAGCATAATTACTCCCTGCATCTCATAATCATGTTTGCTTTCAAAACAGCATGAATTTTAAGAAATTTAGAAGTCTTTCCTTCTTTCCAAGTGTTGTTGTTGTTGTTGTTGTCCTTTTTTTTTTTTTTCTGATGAACTGAAATTGCCCTTCTTATATGTTGATGTAGAGAGTGTGTATGCTTCCACATAATCTTGTCTAGGATAATGGTGGAAAGTGAAAGGGAGGGATATTTGTTAAACTAACAACACATTGTTCATGGGACATCCAAAAATGAGGAAGCTAAGGACTTATTGCAAGATAGAGGGAGTAGAGTAGTTTATTTCTTATTTTCCTGGGGGTCTTTGACTAAAATTTTGTGTTAATTGTCAGGAAATAGCTGCTTCCTTTTCTGGTGGTGGTGTTCGAGGCTATGAAAATGGTCCTGCTTTTGTTCCTGGAGTGATATGTCGAATATTTCACTCAGCTGGTGAAAAGCTTTTGCATCATGTAAGAATCAAAATTTTGTTTACTCAATTTGTTCTTATACTGGAACTGTTGATGAAATAGTTATGTGAATATCTCATAATTTCTATCTTCTGGAGTTGGATCAGTTTCAAGATATCTACTTTAAATAAAGCTAGATAAATGATGATTATTTATTTATTTCTTTCTATCATGCAGTATAATAAAATGAGAACTCAGAGGATATCTATTCTCCTGAGAAAGAGGTTTACAACACCAAACTGGATCAAGGTTTGTCTGCTGCAGGGCTATGTCCTCAAATCTTAAAAGTGGTGCCTCCTTGAAAATAGTGGACATTTGACTTTATATTGATACGTATCTCAATTTCTTGCAGCACAAGGAGCCCCGGGAAGTTCATATGTTTGTTGATCTATTTCTTCAAGAGGTTTGTGCCATTGACTTTTCTCATTGAGGATGAGATTATTGTTTCCTCCATCTGGTACTAAAAATTCTAGATATTTAATGTACAAGAAGTGAGAAGCGTGACTTCATTTAATCCACTTTGTGATAGTTGGAAGTAATTGGAAAAGAGGCAAAGCAAATTTTACCTCAAGGGCACCTCCGTAAGCATAGGCGTTCTGACAGCAATGGAAGCACAACATCATCTCGCAGCAATCCACTACGAGATGATAAAATGAGTAAGTCAAACACCCAAAGAGCAAGGAGCCAACTTTTAGAAACACATCTTGCAAAATTGTTTAAGCAGAAGGTTGAAATATTTACCAAAGTTGAATTTACACAGGTAATGAGATTATGAATGCTCAATTTTTCTGTGGAGAAATATCAAATATCCTGCAGCAATATTGAAATGAAATGAACTGACTTTGCTTTATACTTGCAGGAATCTGTTGTGACAACTATTGTTAAACTTTGCCTGAAAAGCTTGCAAGAATTTGTTCGACTGCAGACCTTTAATCGAAGTGGATTTCAACAAATTCAGTTGGATATTCAATTCTTAAGGACACCTTTGAAGGAAACTGCTGAAGATGAGGCAGCCATTGACTTTTTACTTGATGAGGTAATAAAAACTAGCCTACTTATTAGTTTTCATCTTCTAACTCCATACAGAATTTGCTCTTCCGTTTTATTTACGTTTTTGCTACTTAAGTAGAAAGAACTGAAGTTATGTCATTTTTTTGTTGGATAGGTGATTGTTGCCGCTTCAGAGCGTTGTCTTGACCCCATTCCTTTGGAGCCTCCTATCTTGGATAAACTTATACAAGCTAAGTTAGCAAAGTCAAAGTAGCAGAGAATGGTGCCCCCATGAACAGTGGAAGATGAAATTAGTCATTTGACTCTGCTTTATTATTCTGTTTCTTGGACAATATTTTCTACATGATCTCATCAGACCTCCAAGATGGAATTCATTGTTCAGACTTCATCTGAGACCTGAGCTAACCCTACCACTCACATCCAACATCCGCGGTGCCAATTCTGTGTAATCAGATGATTATTTTCATTATAATTGATTCAGAATACTGTTGTAAATTTGTTATGGCTCTGCTGGTCATTTCATGGAATTTCACAATTTAGAGAACTTTGGTTGCGTTTGTTATGGAATAAAATCGTGTTACATGATGCTTAATGCGATATTTATAATCCTGTTTTTTTGGTAATGCTAGGGAATCTTTTTAGTTGGGACTGTTAAGGGTCTTCTTTTTGGATCAGCCTGTGCCCATCTTGACTTCGAGCAATTTTTAAGGATGCATTTTTCACGTCATTTCGGTATATTTAAATAAATTATTTTTTCAGTATTAATTTAAGATTTAAATTTGAGTCTAATATAAGAGATAATATTAATTTATTTTAATGTTGTCCTTTTAATTTATCTCAAGATTTAAATTTAAATTTTATAAATAGAGATTTAAACTTTTACAATTGAATATTTAGTAAGGGTCTATAAGTTATTTATAGAAAGTAATAGCCATACATTGTTAGAAAAATTCATTTAATTAGAGATGATTTCTAGTAGGTTGGGACTGTTGATGTTGAAATTTCTTACTCTCCCCATTAAATTAGTTAAATAAGTGGGAACGCAAATAGCTTTTGATGCTTTTGGTAACTTTTTTTTTTTTTTTTTACATTAGTAGCTTTATTTTATTTATATGGTGATTGTGATTGTAATTTTTAGTTGCAGATGACTCTCTTTACTTTATTATATATATCTATTATGGGTATAATTTAAATTTGATATTAATGTTATATATTATGTTTTTTATTTTATTTTAGGCTATAATGCACTAACATGAAAATTCAGTTATAATCTTTTTTTCATTTAGTATAATTCTCTATTTCTTATTAATAAATAAATAAATTTATATATAAGAGATAATATTTACTTGCTAATAAACTTAACTCTTTAATATCAAGAAGTTAATTCATGGGCTGATAAAGTCGAACTAAAAATTTTAAGGCTGAATGTCTTCAATCATGGATCATGTAAGATTGGATGGAATCAACGTCAAAATTATTCGCAGATAAATTAGTTCCATTGTATGGTTCGGTAATTTTTTCTTCTGAGTTATTGTTTTTATTGTACCTACTGAGACCGACCCTTCAAATTGTGGCTGTAGTTTAGTGGTTAGAATTCTACGTTGTGGCCGTAGAGACCTGGGCTCGAATCCCAGCAGCCACACATCTTTTTGTCCCTTTTTATTTTATCTTCTCCTTCGGCAAAAAACCGAAAAAAAAAGAAAAAAAAAAGGGTTAATTCCATCAGGAACGTAGTTCACCGTGCACTACCATATTACGTTACACCTCGACACACCGTATCATTCTTGCCACCCATTTTCCCGCCAAAACCCTCTTCCCCTTCAGTGCTTTTG